AAATAATTTTGGTAATTAAGCATTATGTTTAATTGAATAATTAAACATAAATTGAGTGATTAGTTGTAATTAATCACATCCTTAAGCCTTAAGTCGTGAGCTTTTATAAATTCATGCCTAAATTCCTTAAGTGTCGTGCCTTAAGAAAACAAATTTTTCCCAAATTTCCAACCAATGCCGTGAGCATCCTTTTCGGTTGGAAAAATTAGATTTTCCTTACTTTGGGGCATGAAAACGTGACAATTAAAGGAGGTGCTTAGTCACAATTTCTCACCTTAATAGCCACCACTTGGCAAGCATGGGAGAAGGCCACGCCACTCACTTGTCATCCCAAATAATTTATCTCCCTCTCGACTTTAGTATATATAGGTAGGATCGAATTTCTCCCCACTTTGTTTCCTAGAATTCAGCAGCAAGTGATCCTCTTCATTAGTAACCAAAAACCAAGCGAGTTTCCCTAAGTTTTCTCAGCAAATCGCACGGCAAACCATAGTCTACGCACGGCGCACGCAAGGCGAAGGTTATCATGCTTTATCGTCTAATTCAGTCGAGCAATTCCAGAGGTAACATCCTCCTCCTCTGGTAATTTAGTTGATAAGGTCAATTTAAGGTTATATGTTCGGTTTATTTTCGAAAAGTGCAAATCAAATCATGCTTATAGCCGTACACATCTAAGTAAGATAATCACCGAACGATTTTCAGTTTCTTTCGGCAAATCGCGAACTATTACCGTGTAAATGTTCACGTTAACTAAGTTCATGTTCAGTATAATCAAATTTGTCGAGTGAAGATGAAGTTTTGTCGGTAAATAGGCTCGAGCCATCGCCAGCGCCTATCGCGCGTGGCCACGGGCAGCCTCGGGCCGTGTTTTGCCGTTTTCAGTAATGTTCATGTTCACCTGGTTATTCATGCTTTAAATTGTTTCACAATAATGATTATGCTGAGAAGTTCGGGAGTTGTCGAAGGAAAAGACGTTTCGGCCGAGAGACGGCGTATAGCCGTCGGCGGCGCACGGCGCGCCTGCCGCAGTCCTTCTCGTATTCAGTGTGCATAAATGCGTATTCAGGTCTTGCTTAATAATAATAAGTCATGTTAAGTCCAGTTAAGTTAAATTGGTCGAAGTACTTGCTTGTTGGTCGAGAGGCGGCCGAAGGCCGTAGGCCTCGCACGTAGCGAGTGCCACGGCCGAGTATTAAGACCGATCAACCATTTCAGTGAATTCATGTCAAATTCAGCTTAGTATTCATTTTAAGTCATAATATGTTAATTGACGTCAGGTTGGTCGGAGAAAAGTGCCGGACGGTCGGCACGGAGCCGACTGTGGCCGCGCTGCC